AGCCCGGCGCCCCCCGTGCCCGGTCCTGGCCCGCGAGCCCCGCGTTTCCGTCTCAGCGGAGCCCAGCGGGGGCCCCCGCTTGTCTGGGCTCAGCCTGGTGTTTGGGGCCCTGCACCTGGCGCAGTCAGGCACCGTTACATGCACGCGACGCAGGTTAATCCGTTTAATGCACATGCTCCCCGAGATGGGTCCCGGTACTCTCCCCACTTAACTGGAGAAACCGGCAGAGCCGGGGTCTCGCTCTGCACCCGGGGAGGCGGCTCCGCCCTCAGGCGAGGAGGCGCTGAGCCCCGGAATCAGGGGGGTGCGCCAGGAGGGCCTGTGGGCCTTTGTGACCTGGGGAGAGGGAGAGGGTATCAGCCCCTTATGAGCACTTCTTTGTCCCCCCAACTCCCCAGCCCTCAGTGGGGGTTTCAGCCTTGCAGAGGCATGGGGGACTCCTCTCCCTGGGGGACTTCTCTCTGCCTCACCTGCTACCTCAGTCCCCTCTTGTCCTTTATCACCCAGGATTGTGGCTCTGCCCTTAGCCCAGAGGCAGGGGTGACCCAGCAGGGTGGTTGTGAGAATCTCCCCATTAAGACAGCTGGAGAGGGGAGCACCGGGCTGCCCATCCTGCTGACCTGGACAGCTCTGAAGTCCTCCATCCGAGCGCTCTGACCAGAGCTGAGGTCGTGGTCATTGCCCATGAACAGGGCTGTCCCGGGTGAGGGTAGTGGAGGGAGGGGCTGTGGTGGCCGTTCAGCCTGGGGCAAAGGCTGAAAGCATCCCGGGTTCCATCCTGTCCCCAGTTCATGTCACTTGTTGGTTTAGAGAACTGTCACTTCCTGTTGGTGCCGACCCCTTTAGTTGTTGGGAAAACTCCATGCAGAAGCCCCCCATGCCACAGCTGGGCTTAGTTCTTGCTAGGGGTCCAGGAGCCGTGGCGGGCAGCGGAGCCTTCTGGGCCTTTCCTAGTACCTTTCCTGGTAAGTAGCAAGAAGGGCCAGCAGCCTGGGGGTGTGGCTCAGCGGTTGAGCACCGATGTATGGTCACAGTTTGATTCCTGGTCAGGGTACCTGCTTGGGTTGCAGGTTGCGGGCCCCAGTAGGGGGTGTGCAGGAGGCAGCCAATCAATCGAGTCTCTCATCATTGGTGTTTCTCTCTCCCTCCTTCCCTCTCCCTTGCTCTCTGAAATCAAGACATATTAAGAAAAAAAAAAAAAGGGCCAGCAGGTGGCACCAAGCTCGCAGGCTCACTGCTCAGAGGGTGAGGCTGTTGGGGCTTCCTCTAGTGACTGGTGCTAAGTTCTTACCCGTCTGAACTTGGGCCCCATTGGTGTCCACTCTGTTCCTGGGCTCTGCTGAGCTGTGCTAGGTGAAGCAGTGGGACCTCCCGTGGCTAACGCTGGAGGCCTGGCAGTCCCCAGCTCGCCTCCCTGCAGGACACTTTTCCGTTTTTGAGCTCTTGGGCACCCTCTACTACTGTCCTCCGGCCTCTCCAGGCGCTCTGCTGGCCCTGGTTTGCAGCCTCTTCCCACTGGCCCTTGCTCTGGGCAACCTTGTGTGGTCCACTCATGTGCTGCCACATCCCCAAAATTCATCGCCAGCTCCAACCTGGAAGGCCTTTCTCTCAGCTCCAGCTCCCCACCTGGCTGCTCTGCTTGGGTGTCGGTTGTGTGTCCCTAGGTCAGCATGTCCCAGGCTCAGCTCCTAAGTTCCTGGTCCCCAGAACCCATCTCTCCAGAACAGCCCCATCCTTTGGGGGCTCAAGCCCCTGCCTTGAGTCTTGGCCTGGACTGGCCCATTTCCCATTCATGTCTGTCAGAATGTCCCACAAATACACCTGTGTTCTGATCCCTGCTCAGCCACCCCTGACTGAGCGCTGCAATTTCCACAGCGCCTATCTTGCTATTGGAAGATTCCTTTTAGTAGTAGGAGGGACCGTGGGTGGAGCTGACCCAGCACCCAGAGCAGAGTTTGCTACAAGCTACGTGGTGGTGGTGGCGGCGGTGTGGACAGACCTGTGAAGGGGTCCACAGGGAGGGCGGTGCCTCGGCCCAGGGATGGAGTGGAGCATGAGGCCACCCTGGATCCCAGGAAAATTGGAGTCCCACAGGGGCAGGCTGGCACCTGGGCTGCTCCCACCTGCGTCTAACTTCTGCTCTTGGAGCCATCCACAGGGAGGCTTCTCCCACCACCCAGTCCCCCCCCCAGGAGAGGCCCCAGGGGACAGAGGGCATTTAGGCCAGAAATCACCCCTCTTCCCATCCAGAACTATGCCTAAGGGGTCTGTGGCATGGGGGGGGCAGGGCCAGTGACTGACTGTCCTGTTGGTCCCCCAGGAACTCGTGAGCAAGCTGCTGCACCTGCATTTCAAGGATGGCAAGACCAAAGGTGTGGGACGGGTGGGGCTGCTGCCTCTGCCTAGAAGGAAGGGGGGAGTGCGGGGAAGAGCAACCGCGGGCCAGGGCAGTGGGGGAGTGCCTTCCTGTGACCTGTTCCCTCCACCTTGCAGTCAGCGGGGATGCTTTGCTGCTCGTGGCCGAGTTGCTGAAGATCTTCGTCGTGGGTGAGCTTGGGCCCTGGGCTCTGGTCCCTCTTGCATTTCATTTCCCATGGGGAAGCCAGGATGTGTGTTTTTCCCACAAGCACCCTTTAGGCTGTATCCCTGGAAAGCTCTGTTTTGGGGGCCGCACTTTGGCCCTCTGGCTGGCACAGCAGTTGGGGCTGAGGCCCAGGGGAGTTGGGTTTCAAAACCTCCAGACTCATCCACCCTACTTGCCTCCTGTTGCGGCAGAGGCAGCCGTCCGCAGTGTCAGGCAGGCCCAGGCAGAGGACCTGGACTGTGTGGATGTGGACCAGCTGGAGAAGGTGCTGCCTCAGCTGGTAGGTGGCCCTGGTGGGTGTCTGTCCCTGTCCCACCCTCGGGGAGCAGGGCTGGGTGGAGGAGGGGTGGACTAGCGTCTAGGAGGCTGAGTGCTCATCTCCCCCACAGCTTCTGGACTTCTAGGGGTTTCCACCCTCACGGAGGCCGCCTGACTCACGACCCTACCCCACCTCGTCTTCCGTTGCCTCTGGCTTCAGACGGGAGAGGCTGCTGCTCCAAGATGCTCCTCCAGCCCCGAACCTGGGCCGGGTCCCAGCAAGCACTCTGTTGTCCCTCGTGCCCTCCTCTGCCCTGCTGATGGCCTGGAAGCGGCTGAGGGACTGCTGTGTGGGGAGCCTGGCCCAGGGTGGGCAGAAGTGGGGACTGTCCTCTGCCGAGAGCTGCGCTGCGCAGTCCTGCACTGACATCAAAGCCGGGTGCGGCCTCCTCACCACACTGCTCCCTCAGAGGATGCTTCCCTGAGCTATAAATTTGTTCTCATAGAGCAACGTCAGTAAATCAAAGCTTTCTCCCAGGCGAAGCCTCTGTGCTGCCATTAATCACCCAAAGTCAAGTTGCTTCAAAGCCCACTCCCCCCATCCATCTTGGTAGGACTAATACAAAGCTGAGAAAGGACAGGACACACAGCATGTGTGCGCACCATGCCCTGTGCCAGCGAGGAGCTGAGACCAGGGCCCTCACACGGGCCCCTCACTTGCCTGGAGGTGGTGCTCCTGCCTCAGGGCTGCCCAGAGGAATGTCGGTGTGGGCAGGGCCTGCTGGTGGGAGATACTCGGTGGCAGGGAACCTGCCTGTAGCCCAGGGCAGTGCTAGGGACTGGCAGGTCAGCCTCAGGCCACGCCTACCCTGGAGACTGCTGTGTAGGACCCCCTAGGTCTGGGAGGTCGGGCTGCCCTCAGATGCTCTGGGGCCTCCAGGGCCCAGCTTTGTTGTATGGGGCCCAGCCACCCCCATCCTCACCCTGCCCACCCTGCAGCACCCACTTTCCTTTAATTCCAAAAGCTGCTTTAACAGTGCCCAAGATAGGAAATACCCCAAGAGCTCTGGGCCAAGTGGCTGTAACGCGGAGCCACAGCACATGGCCCTCAAGAGGGACATCCAGGTGGGACAACGGCCACCCCAGGCTGAGCCACCCCATCTGCCACAGGGCATGGAGGACCTTCTAGTCAGCCTCAGCTACCTGCCCACCCTCCCCCCACACTTGAGGGTGGCATGGGTTGGGGGACAGGCCCTCCATCCCTAGTTTGGCCCTGCTGGCCCCTTCCTGCACCCTTCCCGCCTCTTCCCCCACCTTCCTCTCCCTGCTGCCTCAGGGGAGTCTGGGCTTCAAAGCACTGGGAGCATGTGGAAGTAATTAGACCTGGAGGGAGAGGAGGCGACAAGTGCCAGGCCCGTGCCCTGCAGCACTTTGAAGTGCCTCAGATGCTGAGGGCGGCGGGAAACCCCAGCCAGGTCCTGCCAGCCCCTCCCTGTGGGGTGGGGGTGCCTTCCGCCCCTCTGTGCCAGGGGCTATAGTTCAAGCCTGTGCCAGGCAGGCTATGCCCAGAGGCCCTTGTCCTCACACTTGTGTTCTCAGAGGAGGGTAATTAATGATGTCAATTAGGCAAAAGCCAAGGGAGAACACCTGTGCCCTTGTTAATGAGAACAAGGCCGCAGCAAGGGGACCCCAGCCACACCGAGGTCCAGCCAGTCCCAGGGCCCGGAGTGGCTGGAGGCCTGTGCCTGGGAGCTCAGATAGGCAGGCACTGTCAGGAGGGTGGTCAGGGCAGGGAACAGACAACAGGAGGGTCTCAGGAGGTGCTGAGTCTTTTATTTGCACTCAGGGTGGGGAGGGGTCCTGTCACCGGCAGAGTAAGCACCTCCAATGGCGGCTTTCACCTCTTGCTGGCTGCAATGCAACACACCAGGATGACCCGGGGCCTGGGCTCTGCCCTGCAGCCCCTCCCAGCCCAGCAGCCCTCCACAGTACCTGGCAGCTTCAGCCATTTGGGCACCTTGCCCAGCTCCCTCCTTAAGGGCTGGGCGGTCCCAGGGCTGGGCGCAGGGAGCCCCATAGCACCCTCCTCAGCAGCTGCCTCCAATTCAAGGGGCACAGGGTCAGGGGCTGGCAGCGGGGATGGAGTCACAGTGGCCCTGGACATACACCTGGGGGTGGAAGGCGGAGGACAGGCTGGCGAGTGCTGCAGCATGGGCTCTCCTACCCTCCCGGGCACTTCATCTGCCTCAGGTACTCACCTGGTCACCAGCACATCAGCTGCAGATGGGGAGACGGTATGTTCCAGCAGCTTGGGCTCTAGGTAGAGACCTGCAGGAGGCCCAGCCCACCCTCAGGCCATGGAGGAAGAAGAGGGGGCATGGCCTGGGCAGGTGGCTGTCCTGTAGCCCCCAGAGGTGGTGTGTGTGTATGGAGGGGGATCAGGCCACAGGTCTTCCAGACCCACAGGAAGCCCCTGCTCTGGGACACTGGGGGCTGGTGGTGCGCAGAATGAGGGGCCCCCACTCACCTGTTGGCTCCTCAGCTCCAAAGTGCACCAGAGCAGCAGGGAAGAGGTCTGCCTGCAGGAAGGACAAAGGGGAGCGCAGGGCTAGGTGGGTGCCAGGTGGGCACTTTGGGCAGACTGGAGAGAGGGGCAGGGTGGGCTGCACCTAGAGATACCACCAGCCTCTCCCATGGGAGCCATCCAATGCCCAGCCCCCAGCTCCTGCTCTTCTTCTGCCACCAGGCCCAGTGCCAGCCAGGCTGGGGCACCGGACCGCAGGGGACCCAGGGGCCAGTCCCAAGCACCAGCTGAACAGGAAGCTCTGGTACCGTGTGCACTGGCACTTTAATCACCTCTTCCCCAGCTCCCAGGATGCAATTAACACTCTGAGGGCCAGAGTTAGGCCTGGACACCCCGCTCCCTCCAGGAGAGCCTGCAGCAGGCCCAGTCAGAACTGTGCCGTGCGGGTGCAGGGAGGATGGCCACCAGCCCTTTTGCAGGGTGCCCTGCATTCCCTTCCCCCAACCGTGTTGCCTGAAGTACAGAGTATGGTGGTCTGTAGGGGCAACCTGGTGGGCCGCCCTTAGGCTCCGGGGAAGAACCCAGACCAACCAGGAGCAGCTGCAGTGTGCACTCCTGGAGCCCAGTTGCACAGGGAGTCCTGGGTTGAGGTACTGCCCAGGTCTGCTGCTTTTGTGAGTGCGCCAGCCAAGACCCTGAAGGCCACCCAAGGGTTCCCTGACTGGGCCAGCATGAAGCCCCTCCCACTGGGTGGCTCTGCACCAGGGCACCACACCCCACCCTGGGAGTACGGAGACAGCACCTCTCCTAAGCTCCCAACTGCGAGGGTGGTGGCGAGAGGGTTCTGCCCAGGGACTGACCCCACCTGCACAGGTGGACAGGGCTGGGTCGCCCAGCCAGGACGAGCCCCTGGAGACCTCTGGGGCAAGAGGCTGCACTGTGTTGCAGAGTTGGGGCTGCTGGTGACGGCCCCAGAGCCCCCAGTGACAACCATGGCTGTGGTCCCGAAGCTGGCCAGGCAGGGCAATGACCCCACCCGAGGCTCTGTCCCTAGCCCTCAGTGCAAGGGGCTGAAACTGCTAGCTGAGCAGGCGTCTTCTCTGCTCTCAACTCGAGCTCTGGGAGTTGTGGGGGGGTTCACGAGAGAAGCCTTGAGGGCCAGGCCTAGGAATGCAGAGACCACAGCCAAATGGAGGGAGACAGACAAGGGCTGTGACACCTTGAAAACCCCACTGTGACACCTGGGATCCAAGCTCATGGGCACGTGAGGGGCTGCCCTAGGGCTCTGGAAGCTGGGGGGTGGCCAGGGAGCAGGAAGGGGACATGGGGAGGACAGTGCCCCACCCTTCCCAGCACACTAGACCTGACTCAGTGGAACCACCAGGTGCTGGGGCTCCTCTCACAGCACCCCCGTGATGGTTTGTTCCTATTTCACGGGACCTCATCCAAGCCCACCAGGTGGGACAGAGCTATCTGGGGCTGCTGGTCTCAGAGCCTAAAGGACCGCTGTCCTCGGCACCTGTCAGTAGCCCCCTCCCTATGGGTCTGTGTCCCTGGGGTCCCAACCAAACAGTGGTGAGTAAAGAGTGGACCATCAGGACCACCAGCAGGGAGGGTCTGCCCCTGCTCAGGTTGAGGGACCCCCAGATCGTGGCAGTCTTCAGGACCCACTAAGGGTGATGCCTGGGTCCTGGGCAAAGTGATGGGTGGGGCTGAGACAGAGTGGGGGCAGTGCCAGCACTAAAGGGGGCTCAGGCCCAGGAAGCAGGTTTGCTGTGGGGCACTGGGGGCCTTTGTGCCCACTGACTGCACCCCTCCAGTCCCTCAGCCTCTCCCACCAAACACTCCTGGTCCAGCAGCCAAGAAGGGCAGCTGGACTGCCGTCCCCTACACCCACCCTGAGCTGTCACTCTCTGGAACATTGGGGAGGCCCCCAGGCAGCCTCCCGGGCAGCCAGCAGCCAGAGCGGGGCCCTGCCAGGGACATGAAAGCCACGGCTTCCGCCGCTCACCCTAGGGAGGGCGGGAGGCTTCCTTCCCTGAGTCCTGCCAGCTCTGATCTCGGGCAGGGCGGCCACCCCTCATGGAGGCCCCGCAGCTCCAGGCCGAGCTGACGGATGAAAGGAGACGGCTGCTGGTTACTGGGGGCAGAGTGTCACCAGAAATCAGGCCGAGTGGGTGGGACAGGCAGCACCCAGGGCTGCTAATTGGAGTGGGTCTGGGAGTGGGTCCCCTCCTCCCAAAGCACCTTCCAAATCCAGTGTGTACCATCAA